ATCTCAAAAGATGAATTTAGACAATGTTTTGAAAAATGGAATAAAAGACTAGACAAGTGTATTAGTGTAAGTGGAGAGTACTTTGAAGGGGATTGAAGGTTTGTGCTTAAAATTTGAATAAATAAGTTTAAAAAAATAAGTTCAGTTTCTTTTGGGTACCCCCTCGTATGTCCTCTGTATAAATTTATATAAGCTTTCAAAGTTGTAAAGCTCTCTTTGAAACACCCTGTACTATGGGTATGCTTGAACATAGTGTCCTTGCTGTGCCTTTATTGTTATGGGTGTCGAATATATCTACACTCGAGTGACTTGGAAAGTGGCCAAATGTTTGATGTGTTAACAGTCCTGCAGCTTCTTTTTGAGGAGCCCTTCTGGTGCCCTGTGTATGTGCTTAGCCCAAGCAAAGCATAAAATTTCACTCTGCAAGGTTTCAACATGCAGAACTTCTATCAGATATATTTTCCTTTGCATACAGATATTGTAATCACATGCTACAATTTGCTGACACTCTGAACCCAGATGGCAGATACATTTTCCTTCTCATTCCCTTTTCAGCATCTGTAGCAGTACAGGCAAAATATGTGAGGGGAAATCAAATTGTTTATGTCACAGTTGTCAGTGGCAGATTGTTACACTTGTGCAATTTTCTTTGTTAGTGTTCCTGCTGAATTAGATATTCTAGTGTTCAGTGGCAGATTTTGTTCCTCCTTATGCTTGTTTCTGTTTCCACACTCAAAGGAATTCAGTAGACCAGTGATCCAACACCTTCGAAGCATGCACATCTGTTAGTTGATTTAGTATGTGCACAAGATTATGGTGGAGAGCAGTACACTGATATCTCCTCAGAAGAAAAGCTCAAAATACCACACTTCAGGGTCCATCATCTGCTGAAGAAAATGATAAAAATTTAGAGTGGCATCACCAACTTCCCTCTGATAAGGCAGATGTGCTCAAGTTTGTGGGAGAACAAAATGGGCTGAACAGAACCGCTGCTCCAAATATTACTGAGAATTCACAACCTCACAAGTTGTTCTTGCTGTATATTCATACTCTCCTGGAAGTACCATATTTACGCATGTATAGGCCGCACATTTTTTGCCAAAAATTCAAGAGGAAAACTGGGGTGCGGCTTATATTCGAAATATTCGAAATCACACTTCATTTAAAAAAAATTATAGTCATAATTAGTAATACAGGGTGTTCAAAAATCGAGGAAACCGGGGCAGCAGCGTAGAGCGGATGGAATGTTTCTCCGCGACTACTGTGCCCCTCCCCACTAGTGAGAGTGCAGTCGTGTCGCTGATACCCTTACATCAGTTTCTGTACATGCACACATTTATAAGAATACTGTAAAAAGATAACACAAACTTACCGTGCTTTATAACAGGTGCTGAAAGTGACCCCCTTCTGCTTGCAAACATGCTTCGCATCGCATGAATAAATTATGCGACACTTTCTGAAGTTGGTCCACGGTAATTGAACCATATTACTGTTCATCACTTGACTCGTTACTGTCGATGTCGCTCTCGCTCGAAGTTTCGCTGTCAGGTGATGTCAGCCATACAGCGTCATCTTCAGTCCCGTCCATTGCGTTGGAAATGGATGTGACTTTAAAACTTTTGGAAACCATTTCTTCTGGTATGGTGTTCCATGCAGCCACAATCCACTCACACATTTGACTTAATGAAGGTTTCTTCAATCGTCCAGTCGGCGTCATCTCCGTGGAACCGCATCTCCAGTCCCGGTAAAAGCGCCGCAAATGAGACTTGAAAGGACGGTTTATTGACACGTCAAGTGGTTGTAACATGCCAGTCATCCCCCCTGGTATCACAACCATATCACTTTTCTCCTGCCTCATCTTCACTTTCACATTTTCAGTTAAATGGCTTCGAAAACTGTCAACCACTAACATTGACCGCTGACGTAAAAGTGCGCCTGGGCGCCGAAACCACACTGATTTCAACCAATCCAGATAGAGCTCTTCTGTCATCCATCCTTTTTCTTGAACTCTCACCAAAATTCCCGGTGGAAGCTTTTCTTTCGGCAATGTTTTGCGTTTGAAGATTACAAATGGTGGTAGTTTGTTTCCATCAGCAGTGATACCAAGCATTACGGTACACCGCTGCTTTTCTGCTCCTGCAGTCCGCACATGCACTGTTTTTTCGCCTGCTTTGTTCACTGTACTTTCACCCGGCATTTCAAAGAACACAGGAGTTTCATCAACATTTCCAATAGCTCCCATGGTGTAGTTGTGCGTCTTTCTTAATTTCAGGACATGTTTTTGAAATGCAAGCAGTTTCTCCTGGTATGTGTCGGGAAGGCGCTGCGCTATTGACGTCCGTCGCCGAATTACAAGATCATGTCGGGCCATAAAGCGCCTTGCCCATCCATAACTTCCCTTAAATTCATTACGAGGAATTTTCATTCTGTCCGCTATTTTGAGGCCTTCAAATTGAATCATTTCCACAGACACTGAAAATCCATCCGCCCGTGTATTACGCACGTATCGCAAAAGTTTATTTTCAAGTTCTGGAAATTTAGCTTTCTTTCCGCGGAAAGATTGTCGATTTTGTGACGTTTTTTCAAGGGCATCTTTCGTTAGTATCCATCTTCGCACATTTTTTTCGTCAACGTCGAATTTTCTCCCTGCTGCTCGATTTCCGTGTTCTTGTGCGTAATGCACCACTTGAAGTTTAAATTTAGACGTATAACCTGCTCTTACTCGACCCATGTTTCACTCAGAACTAACCAGGCAAGTCAAGTAAAGGCGAAAAGGTTATAACTCTCCCCCGCAATGCCTTTGTTCCGAGCGGTACCGTTATGTTCGCTAGTTGCGAACTTAGGAATGTTAAACGTTGCCAAATTTCGGAATAATTTCTACTCCTGAAATAATATTCCAAGAAAATTATTTTTTCTATAATTTCTGTCTGAAAATTGTGCTGCGGCCTATACACACGTGCGGCCTATACATGCGTAAATACGGTAATTGTACAAGAGACTAACCAATATATGCAACAAGATGCAAAAGAAAAAATGAACCAAATATTCCGTATTCTTCGCAAATATGCATAAAGGAC